CAAGCATAAAACTAAATTGGAGAAGGTTCAGAGGTTTGCTACAAGACTAGTGCCCAAACTGAGGGGCATGAGCTATGAGGAGAGACTACGGGAATTAAACCTCACGTCGCTGGAAGACAGGAGAGTTAGGGGGAAATGATAACCACATACAATATTCACAAAGGACGAATATCAATTCGTCCCAAAGGATGATTGGGACGAATTGATGAACTCTCACTCTCACATACACCTCTCACATCACATACCCATACCCCTCACCCTCACATACATCCTTTGCCCCCCCCCCCCCCCCATACACATACCTTACACACACTCTCTCTCTCTCCCCATCCCTTCCTCTTCAGTCAACCCTCCTCCCAACCCCTCACAGCCTCTCTCACCCCTCCCAACCACCTCATCCATCCCTATCCTCCATACCCCTGTCATCCATGCGTGTAGTCCTATACTCTCCGCCTCCTGGGTGAGCTGGCCGTCTCTCATCTACACACACCTCCACAACCTGACAGCTTACACACCTGCATTCACTTAAAATTACACCTAGACTCAATTTATACAGCCTTGAAGATGCTTATGTTCACTCACACGGTCCTTGGCCACACCCCCTTCCATTACACACAACCATCTTTACTCAGACTTATTAATATGTTGTATGTGCAGGAGTGGAAGATCAGGTATATTCGCTATACAACGAGTATGATTTGAGTATATTTGTGTCAATAATGACATATATCAGCAGTTTGGGAATGTCTTTTGTGTCTCAGTTGTCATGTAAGAAACAGAATTTAAATTAAAACTGGTTTGAGTTGGCTTAACTTCAGGGGGAAAAAATGGAGGTGGGAGGGTGGTGGGACTTTACCTGCTGTTCAAGGAACAGTGGACCCTTTTTTTTTATTATATCAGATGCCTCTTATCCAGGCCATCTGATGGGTTGTAGGTCTTGTGAAGCTGACTTTGTAATTATATATGCGAGTCCATGGGGTAGATGAATTTGTGAATTATTGCAAATTGTTATATGAGGCTACCAACTTATGGCAAGAGTGAATATTTATTGAGGTGCAGACCAGTCTGGTATTACGGTTTAGTTCATGTCTGTCTTGTTTACCTTGTTTGCAGCATTAAACATCTTTGGTTTTGGTGTTTTTATATGTTGATAAGGTAAGGAAAAACACTTAGTTCTGGCATTGAATTGTAAATGTTGAAATGTGTGGCTTGCGGCAAGTCTTGGAGTGAGTTGAGCCAAAACTGTTGACTGGCAACTGAGGCATCAGCAGCCAGGGGCCTTGGGGGTCTCAGAATGTTAGATGTGAACATGGCTGCCTCCCAGTGTCTGTGAGGCAGTTGGTGGTGGTGCAACACACACTCTCCACATGGCTCGGCTCTATTGTGTGGACTGATTCTCGTTTGCAAGTGTGGGCCCGCACTCTCTGCTGGCGCACGGCTGCTACACTGCGAATTTCCTCATTCCCTGCTCCAATAACTCGCTCTCTCTCTCCCTCTCACGTTTTGCATTTGACCCGGTTTGTTCTCATTTTGACCACCAAACTGGGGCAGTGATTTGAAGTTCAATATTATATTTTCTTGTCGAGTGGTTTTTCTCAACACATTTCTTAAATGTTAAACATTCACCAAACACTTCTGTGTGCACCTCTATGCACTAACATTGAAGTGATTCCATGGAAGTTGGATTTTTCCTATTTAAATATTAACCCCTAACTCCTGGGGGGTAATTTTGGGGGTATTCACCATTAATATTACCTTGGCACCAGGAGGTGAAGCCATAACCATTAGTAATTTAGTCACCAAGTGAGGCACTTTTGGGGAAACTTGCCGTGTGTTCACTTCAAGAGCCAAAATGGGTCTAGTAAAAGAGAGCAAAAGGGAGGTTCAGTTGGAGAGTGGCATTAGGGACTGTGAGCCGATGATCAGCAAGGCGCTGGAGGGCCAAATCGTGTGTGCTTGTCCAGCAGAGCTTGAAATTATCGTGGAGAATCAAGAGAGCGGCGCCGCTAAGGTCTTGACCAAGAAGCCTCATCTAAAGGTAATGAGTTCCGTCGTGTGTGTGTGTGTGTGTGTGTGTGTGTGTGTGTGTGTGTGTGTGTGTGTGTGTGTGTGTGTGTGTGTGTGTGTGTGTGTGTGTGTGTGTGTGTGGCGTGGCCACTGTGGTTGGTGCGTTGACATTTATAGTGCTTATACACACACGTGCTGATTCACACATGTATTTTGCTTGCACATGTATTGTTTCACTCACACACACGTGTGGCAACTGTACTCCCCGCTCTATTCATCCATGTGTAGTGCTTACGCATGTAATAATCCATACATACATACATATACTATGTTATGCTTTCACGTGTAATAATTCATACATACATACATATACTATGTTATGCTTTTACGTGTAATAATTCATACATGTGTAATACCCGTACTTGACCAGTTCATCCTTATATAACATTAAATGAGTAGCTATATAAGAAAAAAATAGCTACATAACAGCAAAAGTGTGGTGGGAAATCCAAAAGTTGCAAATACCATAAGAAATCTCCTTACAATATATGGAAAAGAAAGAAAATAACGAGATGCTATAGACAAACTTAGATATTCTCGAGTGGCATTTTAAGTGTGTGTGTGTGATCTAGTAAACAAAATTCTAAGAAAACTTAGTTAATTAAACCCCAATAACACTACGTGTATGGTCAACATTGTTTGAAAATAGATTTTGTGCAGACAAGCTCGCTCAAGGTAATTCCCCCTCTCCCCCCCCCCACTACACAAAGGTTGCAAATGTTTCTTAATGCAAATAGTGAGTGATCTTACTGTCATGTCTGGCAATCATCGTTATATTATTTACTCGAATGTTATCAGTGGTGATTTTGTTGATGTCTTGAGACCATCATCACTATCATTTTATGCATTCCTGAAGTAGATTTGTTTTGCTCGTCAAAGCCTCATCACTATAACCAATTAGCGTCACCATCATCAATACTACCACCATCACCACCATCATCATTCTAATTACCACCACCACCACCACCAGAGCCATTCTAATTACCACCATCACACTCCTACAACCAGACCACCACCACATTACATTATACTGTAATTGTTTTCATCTGTTATCGACGTTAGTATCTTGACAACTATTGATATTTTGTCAAGTGTATCGAAGATACACTTGAGCACTTGACAAAAGTGTTCAAGTGCATCACTTTGTTTAAATATTAATAAGAGCAGTACTGCACCTCAATTATTATATTGCTGGCCTTATTACTCTCATCTACTGCCAACAGCTTTCAGTTACTCTCCTCTTCTTCATCCTCCTCTCATCTCTGCTGCTCCCTCCCTCTGCCGCTTGATGCTGCTGCCCCTCCCTACTGTGCTCACACTCCCTGCTGTGCTCACGCTCCCTGCTGTGCTCACGCTCCCTGCTGTGCTCACGCTCCCTGCTGTGCTCACGCTCCCTGCTGTGCTCACCCCCTGCTGTACTCACACCCCCTGCTGTGCTCACACCCCCTGCTGTGCTCACACCCCCTGCTGTGCTCACACCCTCTGCTGTGCTCACACCCTCTGCTGTGCTCACACTTCCTGCTGTGCTCACACTTCCTGCTGTGCTCACACCCCCTGCTGTGCTCACAACCCCTGCTGTGGCCACACCCCCTACTGTGCTCACACTCCCTGCTGTGCTCACACCCCCTGCTGTGCTCACACCCCCTGCTGTGCTCACACTCCCTGCTGTGCTCACACTCCCTGCTGTGCTCACACCCCCTGTTGTGCTCACACCCCCTGTTGTGCTCACACTCCCTGCTGTGCTCACACCCCCTGCTGTGCTCACACTCCCTGCTGTGCTCACACTCCCTGCTGTGCTCACACACCCTGCTGTGCTCACACCCCTGCTGTGCTCACACTCCCTGCTGTGCTCACACTCCCTGCTGTGCTCACACTCCCTGCTGTGCTCACACCCCCTGCTGTGCTCACACTCCCTGCTGTGCTCACACCCCCTGCTGTGCTCACACCCCCTGCTGTGCTCACACTCTCCTGCTGGGCTCACACCCCCTGCTGTGCTCACACCCCTGCTGTGGCCACACCCCCCCTGCTGTGCTCACACTCCATGAAGTGATCACACCCCCCTGCTGTGCTCACACGCCATGAAGTGATCACACACCCCTGCTGTGCTCACACCCCCTGCTGTGCTCACACCCCCTGCTGTGCTCACGCTCCCTGCTGTGCTCACACTCCATGAAGTGATCACACCCCCCTGCTGTGCTCACACCCCCTGCTGTGGCCACACTCCCTGCTGTGCTCACACCCCCTGCTGTGGCCACACCCCCTGCTGTGGCCACACCCCCTGCTGTGGCCACACCCCCTGCTGTGGCCACACCCCCTGCTGTGGCCACACTCCCTGCTGTGGCCACACCCCCTGCTGTGGCCACACCCCCTGCTGTGGCCACACTCCCTGCTGTGGCCACACCCCCTGCTGTGCTCACACCCCCTGCTGTGCTCACACCCCCTGCTGTACTCACACTCCTTGAAGTGCTCACACCCCCCTGCTGTGCTCACACTCCATGAAGTGCTCACACCCCCCCCCCCTGCTGTGCTCACACTCCATGAAGTGCTCACACCCCCTGCTGTGCTCACACTCCATGAAGTGCTCACACCCCCTGCTGTGCTCACACTCCATGAAGTGCTCACACCCCCTGCTGTGCTCACACTCCATGAAGTGATCACACCCCCCTGCTGTGCTCACATTCCATGAAGTGATCACACCCCCCTGCTGTGCTCACATTCCATGAAGTGATCACACCCCCCCTGCTGTGGCCACACTCCCTGCTGTGCTCACACCCCCTGCTGTGCTCACACTCCTTGAAGTGATCACACCCCCTGCTGTGGCCACACTCCCTGCTGTGCTTACACACCCTGCTGGGCTTTCTACCATTTTCCTTACTCCTGTCGGGTCATCTTTGTCAGTTATAGTGACAAAATTATCACAATGAAACTAGTATCTTTAATAAAAAATGATTGAATACCAGGAGCATGAACCATTATTTTCAAAGACATAATTACAGCATATATTTTATATTACTGTACCTCAAAATAATGTACAAGTCAAATTCCATCCAGCGAAAAGTGTTTCAAGTAAGCACAAACATCAAACACAGTTCTCAGACAGTGATCTTTATAAACATATTAAGAGGGACAGTAGCATACCTGACGCCCATAACAGAGAGGCAGCCCACCATTATCTGAAACTGACCCCTCATTAGAAGTCTGTGAGGGTAGCTGATTAGGGGTGATTTAACTCCATTTCCCGAGACACGTTAACGTCGGTTATTGCGAAGTACTCTATTTCTCTTGAGAGATGATAGGTGTGGTGTGGTCAGTGTGGGGACGTGGGGTTCATATCTACTGTGTCAGAGTCCTCGAGTTGATAGCGATCATGGTGCTAACATGTACCAGTGTGTCCAGCTTGGAGAGCTGCAGGTTGTTTTCTAAATGGGGACCAGCTACACGATTCACTTTGAATTATTTTGTGTATTTATGTATATATAATATACTGTGTGTATATATGTATGTGTATACTGTGTGTGTGTGTATATATATATGTATGTATGTATGAACTGTATGTATGTATGTATGTATGTATGTAAATATGCAATACAATATTTTTATCACCAGTTGTATTTTCTTAAAGAATTTGCTTTTAGGTGACCTGTTTTATAACTTGTTTTGGTAGCAGGCTATTGTCATTCCTCGTATGACTGCCATGTTTTTGTTGTTGTTGATGGAAGCCAAGCACAAGTCCAGTTAAAGTCGTTACATTATAATGCCAAATGCGTTATTATGGAGGCATGGCATGTTAAGATTGAACGAAGAGCTATGCATGTCTGGAATATCAATCAGTCTATCTGGAAATCTAGTTCTATATAATTAAATTTCTGGTGCTATGTGAACATTCCTGTACCTGGTGCTGGGTGACATTTACACAGCAGTGAATGGTTCCTTGCCCCAATACAAGGCTATAATTATGTCTTTCTATCTATTGTAACTTGATAATTTTTCACCTTTTATTCCTGATGAATTACTTAATAATCATGTTCTGAACTGGAAAGGGACAAAATTAGACCTTCCCTAGACAATGTATTAACAGTTTTTAATTGTTGTCCTTACCTTTGTATGTAGATTTTGTAACAGAGTTTGCCTTTGTTCATTTCAATTGTATTTGCTTATACAGTAATGTATACTTACTGTTGTTGCTGTACTCTTTGGTATTATTGTATACAAATCCTGTTGGCAATTGAGTAGAATAATAGAAAGCTAGACATCAGGAATGTGCCTTGATTTTGGGATGATATTTTGGCAACCCAGTTCCAAGTTTTTATTGCCTCACCTGTCCTCTCAGTCCTGATACGCAGTTCTGAATTAATGTTTGATGCGTAAGACCATGCCTTGGTAACACACTTGTTGATAGGATGGCCACCATGCCTTAGTAACACACACACCTGTTGATAAGCTGGCCACCGTGTCCTGTTAACCTTTGATGAACTTGTTACAGTGTATAATGTTAAATGACAACACTGATGGGTGTTCCCAGTTATATCTTGTTCGTTTGTGTAATTGTGTGTGCTCATACTCCTTGCTGTGCTCATACTTCCTGCTGTGCTATAGTACTGTACACAGCTTTCATCATTCTAAGTTTATATATATCTAAGTTTATCATGATTCCATACCTTACCTGAAAAGCAAGACAAAAGTGGGTGTTGCTTCCACGTGTGTGCTCAGAGTAAGGAAACGTTGTGGCCACCCGGCTAATAGCATTTAACTCTGTTCTAAAATATATTATATAGTAAAATGATATTCAGTATACTAAGTAAGATTTATTTGTGGGTTTCATATAGTTATAAAATGAGTAGTTGCATTATTTAAGTCAAATTTGTAGTTATGTGCAGATTCAGGAACAGTATTAAGAAAAACTAGATAAAGCCACTGCAGTACTTGTGCTTGACCTCTCAACTTTACATTTATTGAAGGTCGAGAATACCT